GACATATACTTATTGAAATGTACACACACTGACATGCACAGACACACATGCATACACACAGATACATATAAACATACACACAAGGAGACACAGACATATTCAGACACACACACATGCAGACAGACACAGTGACATATAGATATACACAGAGAAGCACACATGCACATATTTTTATGTACACACAAAGATATACACAAAGACAGTCAGGCACACTCAGAGACATATACACAGCACAGACAGAGACCTAGACATACACTAAGAAACACAGAGAAGAGATACAGATATATACAGAGACTCGTACCCAATGCACACACAACATACTAACACAAACATAGACACAGATACACACACGTGCACATAGATTCACAGAGCAGAGAGAAGGACACATATTTGGAAGAAACATACACAACAGACATGTACACAGGCACACTCTGGCAGAGATATATACAAAGACACACAAACTTGCATACACGGACAGAACGATATGCATGTATACACATAACAGACATACAGACACACAAATGCACACGCAGACACACATATACACACATATACACAGACGCACAGTTCAGGATACACACGCTTACCCAGACATATACGGACACAGACACACACCTAAACACAGAGACACACAGACATAGACATATGCAAAGAAACACACATATACACAGACACATACATGATCATAGACAGACACAGAGACACACACCTGCACACCTGGACAAAAATAGACATGCACAAACACACAACCAATATCACACATGCAGACTTATACAGAGACACATGCACACTCTTGAACACACACATAGGCACAGACACACAGGGAAATGTTCACATAGAATACACAATGTACACACAAACATATACACGGGCACACGGAGAAATGTCGACACAGGGGACACAATGTACACACAAACATATACACAGAAACAAAGACACACATGCATAGACACAAGCACACAAAAACTCATGTACATATGCACATGTGCACGGACATAAACACAGATATTAAGACAAACATAGCATAAAGATAGACACACAGGCACATACAGACCTGTATCCCAACACACTGTCACATGCAGACACAGACACGCACACTGGCATATTCACAGACACAGATTGCTACACACAGGTATATACACAGACGTACACATATGCAAACACATAGACCTAGACACACGCACACAAAGATATAAACAAACACATGCACACAGTCACAGGAAAAAAATATACACACACAGATCCACCTGCACACAGAGATATATCGACACAGATATATACACAAAAACCCACACATGCAGAAACATGAACACATATGCCCACAAAGACAGACACATACCGACACACAATCATATACATAGGCACATGCACCTGCATACAAACAGAGACACAGACACACACATGAACACAGATGCAGGCATACCCAAATAGCACACTTACAAACATAGGAACAGACTGAGTCTCACGTGCACACACACAGACACACAAACATATGTATACACAGGCACACATATGCACCTACATAGACATAAAGACATATACTCAGATGAACACAGACACACAGACATACAGACACGGAGACATTTACACATACACAGAGACGTACACACAGACATAAATACAGACACTCATAGGCAGACATAGAGAGGGAGACATACACAAGAATGAAAATACAGACACAGACATACACAAACATACAGACACTCATCCACAAGCCAAAACAGACACATGCACAAACACAGATATACAGATGCACACACAGACACACATGGACATATATACAAATGCAAATACAGACACACAGACATATGCACAGACTCAAACACTGTTCACATGCAGGCACACAGACACACGTGTGCACCGACACATGTACACATATATAACAGGCATAGACAAACACCCACAAGCAAGTACACAGACATATAGACATACACAAAAATATGCACAGACACGTATACAAACAAAGACGTGGAGATACAAACGGACATATATAGACACACAGACATATAGACATACTTATATACACAGATATACAAACACACATACACACATAAACGTACAGACACACATGCACACAAATACACTTGCATGTGCATACATACCCAGAGACATATAAATATACGCAGACACATGTGTCAACACACATGCGCACACAGACACACAGATTTATTGGCACACAGAGGCATACACACATGCTAATAGAGACAGAATCGTATATACAGAGACACACAGATAAATGCAAACAGACACATAAACACAGACACTTAAACACATAGACGTATACACACTGACGCACAGAGATACACACAGATATATGCACAGACACAAATCACATACACATAAATGGAGACATGCGAAGACATGTACAGACACATATACACACAAATACCAACACACACACGCACACACTGCCACACAAATACATATACAGAGACACATAGACGTATACACAGTGACGCACAGAGATACACACAGATATATGCACAGACACAAATCACATACACATAAATGGAGATATGCAAAGACATGAAGAGACACACATACACACAGAAATACATGCACACACTGAGAGACACACAAACACAGGTGCACACACAGAGGTACACAGACATATGGAGAGACGCATATAGACATACACATATACTAAACATATGAACACAGGCAAACATACACTCAGACATGCACATATCATACACATAGACATATACACAGATACATACACATACACAGAAACACACAGACATATAACCAGAACACACAGACAGCAAACATACAAAGACACATACGCATGTAGACACACAGACACACAGAGACATACACAGATAGTCACACACATGCACACACAGACACTAAAGGATATATACACAAACACACGTACATAGAGACATGGACTGTATTCACAGAGATACAACAGTCACAAACACCTATGCATGCAGACAGACTTGAATGACATATACACAGGTGCACACAGAAATATACACAGATACATATATACACACGGACACACTCAGACATGTACATAGACACACGAAGATACACAAACAGAGATTTACACAAACGCAGACAGATACATGCACAGATATAGACTCTGATCTACCTGTGCACACGATGACATACAGATGTACAGACAGGCTCACACATGCACATAGAGACACACATATACACAATATACACAGAGATAGATACACAAACATACACAGGACACATCTAGTGCAACACAAAGACAGAAACAGGTGTATACACATGCACACAGACATAAAGACATATATACACACAGACATATACACACAGTGGCATACACAGACACACAACACAATCAAACATGTACACAGATACAAAGAGACACATAATATATACATACCACGCGCAGACACAATCACACATAGACACACATAAATGTATACACAGACGTACAACCTATGCCCAAACAGACACGAATAGACATAAGGTAGACACAATTGGTTATAGACAGAGACACAGTCACATACAGACACGCTCACACACAGAGACACAGACATCCTCAGACACACCCAGAGCACGCGTGCACACAAAGAGACACAGACATGCACACACAGACACATACATACACTTACACCGACATAAATACAGAATCTCAGACACTCAGACACACACATCAACACACATACTTCTAGACATTCAAAGTTACAAATACACAAGTGCACACAGACACACACACAGACTCATACACTTATGTACACAGACACACAAACAGGTAGTCACACAGACATATGCACAGAAAATCATTCCCCACACACATCCAGAGACACAGACTTCAACGTAAAATACATGAGCACAGAGAAACAATACAGACATATATAGAAACACACACAGTGCACTGTCTTTTTAAAAATGCCATCACAGTATACCAATTATACTATCACGTTTTTCAACTTAAAGGTTTTTGATTCTTTGAAGTTGGAATGCCCCCATAACCATGCCACTGAACTCTGCGTGAGGCTGTTTTCACTTGGGGCATCCCAGAGGGGGCCAAGTGAGAGCCCTCCCCGCCCCAAGGGACCCAGCCCCGGCAGCCGACCTCCACTACCCAACTGCCACCACGCGCCAGGCCGCTTTCCACACACTTGGGCTGAGCCTCACACATGAGTGAACATATTCCTGGACACATCCTAAGACACTCCCTACCCATTTTCCATAATGACCGCACAGTTGATGGGGTTCAGACAGTAGGCAACAAATCATAGAGGGAATTATCTATAGAGAGAGAGAGCCCAGCAAGCTACCGAGAGTATCCCACTTGCAAGAGTCTGGCAAGCTATCCGTGGCGTATTCAATATGCCAAAAACAGTAACAATAACAGGTCTCATTCCCCTGACCCTGAAAGAGCCTCCAATACGTTGGGAAAAGACGAGTAAAGAGAGGCTGCTAAAATCTCAGGGCTGGGACAAATGGAGACATTACTGGCACCTGCTCGAGCAAACTGATGAACAACAGGATGACAGTGAGACAGTGAAAGTTGGAATATATTTTACTATAATGAAAGTTAAAGAGTAAAATGTAGGTTAAGTTGTGAAATGACTTTTCAAAATGGAAGGAAATAAACTGCTGAAAATTTTATCCACTACCATTTCAGTGTGTGAATTACTCAACATAATGACTCAATTTTCAGAGGAAAACCTCAGTAAAGTGAATCACAGGAGAGTGGTTTGAGCACATAAATGCTCCAAATGGCTTTTGAAGAGTTTATAGAGTTAAAAAAAAGTAATTTTCCGTCTCTCCCATAAAAATACATAAAATTCTCTTCAAAAATATACATACACACAAAACATCAAAGACAGAGTGATAGTTTAGCAGGTAGGTCGCTTGCCTTGCATATGACTGACCCAGGTTCGATCCCCAGCATCCCATATGGTCTCCTGAGCCCACCAGGACTGATTCTCGTGTGCAGAGCCAGGAGTAAGCCTACCACAAGGTGTGACAAAATATATATAAAAATACATTCACACCGTGTGGAAAACTCCTTACTTTTTCAATCTAAAGTATGCTGATGCTCTGTTTGTTGGTAACACAGGATTATAAGGATCAGCATGCATGCCTTTGGTGTAGCATTCAATGGCATCATCATATTTTCCTTGTTTGAAGTATTTATTGCCCTATAAAAAGCACAAGTCAGTTATATAGTGGCACAAAATTCCAGAGTTCTTTTCTTCAGTATCAGGCTTCTCTAACTCACTGGCTGTCTGATCAAGGCTAACAAGAAAGAAAACTAAGCAAAATCATCATTTTACAAGAGCTTAAACTCATTAGATAATCATTTCTTGGGTACAACCTAAAGGAGCCGCTGGCCCAAAAATGAAATACTCAGCTTGATAAACTCGTCACTGACAGTAACAGCTTACTGTTTAGTCAAAGAAAGTTATAAAAGAAAATTTACTCTAAGAGATTTCCACCATTTTGAAAAGCAAAATGACTAGTTTAACAAACAATCAGACTCCCTCAGGGAGAGTCCTCCAAAACCAAACCGAAGATGAACTATAAAATAGGGGACTGAAACATAATATTCATGACGAAGCTCAAACGCCAATTTTGAGTTAACTTCAGTCCACGACTAACAGTCCTGAATAATTTTCTAAGTCCTAAGCACTTCATGCACTAATATTCACTTATGTATTTCTTAATGTTCACTTTATGGTCATAATCCACTGAGATTTAATAATAAAATTGAGCTTATTTTACAACTGGAGAAAGAAAAGGCACAAGTGACCCAAAAGCCTTTTCCCATACCAGGTCCCATTCCCCTAGCCACTAAGCCATCCTGCTGCCTACCAGACCCTGGATTGTTTTGAAGAAAGAAATCTTGGGATCCACGTTTTACACAGCTTTCGCCTCTGAAGGAAAACAAAGCAACCTAGAGAATACCTTTTCTTTTAAAGCAAGAGCCGTTTGTGAGTCTACGTGAATTCCATCTTCTTCTGACTCTGATTCTGGAGACACAGAATCCCGAGTACTGTCTTCTTTGTCAAGCTCATCCAGGACACTGTCCTGCAATCACAAGAATCATGCCCATCATCAGACGACTTAAAAATAAAGACAAACTCAAACAAAAAAGGAGAGATGGTCCTGGAATGTGTTAATTCAACAGAACACTAACGAATGAAAACACACAAAAAACTGAGGTCCAAAGGATGGTTCTGAGTGACTGAGTGCCAGTCTGGCAAGACCAGGCCACGTGTCCGGGCTGGTGCTGTCCTGGTGGCTCTGCTGTTTGGCGCCCACAGCCGCGCAAAACTGAAGCCTGTGAAGCACCCACAGCCAGGAGTGGCCCCCAGGAAGCCCGTCCACGCTCACCACCAAGAATGTGCACAACTGAGGGAACTGACACCCAGCAAACACCTCAGTTGAGTGTGTGAGGGCCACAGGGAGCGGTGCAGGCCACACAAACACGGCAGCCAAGCATGAGGGTCGCGGCGTGCTATGCAGCGCCCACCGCACCACAAACAACAGGACAAGCACCACACCCAAACGCGCGATTCCTGGTCGTCATCATAACCAAAGGGAAGAGGGAAAATGAAAACTGATTATGGTCAGTGTGGAATGTTGGAGTTCCTCCCCACATCCGCCTGGGTTTCCTCTGGGCATTCTGGCTTCCGTCCATACCCTACCGATACGCAGTGGTCCCAACAGGAGCAGAGTATCAGAGCACCCAGCAACACGGGCATTTGGTGCAGGGCTGCTTTCCACCTGGTGCCTGAGTTGCTGGGATAGGCGCTAGTTACCGTGACCTTGGAACTATAATTGGTCGGCTGGATATGAACGATTACAAGGAACTGTCTAATACTAGAGGTGTTGAGTGATCAGCTGATACTGTGACTGATAAGAAAAAGTGGTTTTGGTCTCCGCTTCCATTCTTGTAGAGTTCCTAAAACCCTTGGAATTTCCTGATGAGAACAAAAGGTGTCTTTTGCTATATTGGAGAAAATGACCCTGAGACAGTACCTGAGACAGGCAGCTAGTTGTCAGAACTGGAACCTTAAGTCCCATCTCTCTAATTATCAGAATCAAAGGCTTAGAATCAGTGATTTAATCAACTGTGCCTATGGAAAGAGGCCTCCATAAATCACTCAGCTCAGTGATTTTTTTTTTGAGGACACACCCAGCTTATACTCAAGACTAATCCTGGCTCTGTGCTCAGAGATCCATCCTGGCAGGCGTGGGGGACCATCTGTGACGCCGCAGATCAAACCCAGGTCAGTCGGGTGGAAGGCAAGCGCCCTCCCTGCTGGACTATTGCTCCAGTCCCAGGCCTCCATAACTTCTGAAAAGGGTAAGATTCAGGTAACTTCCAGGTTGGCTCAGGAGAGGGGAGACTGGAGTGCTGAGACAGCATGGAAATCCCTTGACCTTTTTCCATGCCCTGCCCAGTGGCACGCCTCTAGCTGGCTTCTTATGAGTTATCCTCATAAAAGAAAGACCCTCTTAACTTAGGCACCGTGATTTACCAAGCTGTGATAACAGAGTCTAAGGCATCCAAAGTTCTAACCCAAAGCCATCACCTGGGCCAGTGCCTCTCCATCAACATCCCTCTCCCCACCCACCTCAAGCAATACTCTTTGGAATAAACACAGAATTCAGTCCGTGAGATGCTCTAGCAAATAAACTCAACTGAGAAGAAATCCTGACACTGACGGGCTGCAGGTGCCATTAGCAGATGCCCTGGGAAGGGCGCCCCAAGCTGCAGGCGCAAGTAACATGGCACACGGAGGGCGATCTTTGGGCAGAGGCTTCAAACTCGGGAATCTGAGGTCACATCTGAGTAGACAGGATCAGGACTGGGCTGAACTAGAGAACACCAAGTTTGATAGTGTGGGAAGGAAACTCCCACACATTAGAATGTGGAGGAGAATCAAAACCTACCAAGAAATTAGCAACAGCAAACTCCTACATATGGTCCCTAATTCACTATTCTGTTCCCTAAAGTCTAAAGCTGAGGACAGTGTCCCTCATTTTGTCCTACTTTGTTTAGACTTATAGATGTGATAAGAGAAATACCTGAGGGCTTATCGGAGGACCCTGACTGCCAGGATTCAAGGATGACTAGACTTTGAGATGTGTGCCTCAAGCAGCCAGCCTACAAGAAATGCATTGTTCTAGAACCCACCCGTTTGCAACCCACCTTTTCTTTCTCCTTGCTCTTCTGCTATTAAAAATCCCTCTTGTGGGCTCAAAGAGATAGTACAGCAGGTAAGGTGCTTCCCTGGCATGTTCCAAACCAGGTTTGATCCCACATACGGTCGCCCAAGTCTCTTCAGGAGTGATCCCTCAGTGCAGAGCCAGGGGTAAGCCCAAAAACTTAAATAAGAATAATAATAAACTTGTATCATATTAAAATGGGCTGGAGCGATAGCACAGCGGTAGGGCATTTGCCTTGCGCACAGCCAGCCTGGCTGAGCCGGGTTCGATTCCTCCACCCCTCTCAGAGAGCCCGGCAAGCTACCGAGAGTATCTCACCCACACGGCAAAGCCTGGCAAGCTCCCCGTGACGTATTCAGTATGCCAAACACAGTAACAACAAGTCTCACGATGGGAGACGTTACTGGGCCAACTCGAGCAAATCAATGAACAAAGGGAGGACAGTGCTGCCATGCTACAGTGCTTTTACAAATGTGAAAAAAAAAGTTTCTGGGACACCCCCAGCGCAGCTCAGGGCTTCTTTTGGCTTGGTACTCTGGGATCATTCCTGGTCACACTTGCAGACTATATGCAATAGTAGGGCTCCAACCCAGGTCAGTCACATGCGAGGCAAGCACCAGACCCACTGTACTATCTCTCTAGCCACAAACATTATCCTTTATCTTACATCTTCTTGAGGAACACAGCTCCTTATCTAAACAAAAACCCTGATCCTTATATAAACAATTGTTTGCATTTAATAACATCATTTTAATTATTTGTAAGTAAAAAAGGGTACAATAAAATCTGCTTAGACTCACTGTATGAACATTAAAAGATGGACTGAAATTTAACTATGTGTTTAGGAGGATGACTATAAACATACCACCAGCCTACCACTTTAAATCCACATTTGTCCAACCCTACTGTGCTGACATATATGAAAATTAACGACCGTACGTCAATAAAGCAGTTGCGCAGATTTGAACATTTGAAGGAAATGGTAAAGAAATATCAGTATCTTAAAGGATAACGGAAATGACTTTAGCAACCAAGGCAGCCACGACACTGGCCACACAACGTGTCATGATCACTGTGTTGAATGAATTAACAGCTATACAGAAAACATCTAAGAAATCATCTTAGATGATGATTTTCACTAAGGAGTATTATAAGAAGATACTAACCTCTGACAAGGAAAAGACACAAACACTGAAAGCAGACTAGATGATTCATACTAAAAATGGTATGTTCTGAATTTATTTCCAGAGAAATTCATTCAAAACCAAAAATTAACTTCTCTAATACTAGAATCATACTAAAGTAGATGGGGACTATTTAAATAACTGCAACTCCCTCATATAGTTGATTGGTCTTGATTCAATAAGAAAAATACAATGGGGTCAGAGAGAATCCAGAGGGCAGGTACCCACTTTGCACAGGACCAACTAAGGGGTAATCCTGGCACTGCAGACTGGACTCACCTCGCACCCCAGCACTGCCTGGCATTATCCTGCGAACAGAGCCAGGAGGAAGCCCTCATCACAGCGAGGTAGCACTGTAGCACTGTCCTGCTGTTCATCGATTTGCTCAAGCAGGCCCAGTAACGTCCCCATTGTGAAACTTGTTGTTACTGTGTTTGGCATGTCGAATACGCCACGGGCAGCTAGCCAGGCTTTGCCCTGCGAGCGAGATACTCTCGGTAGCTTGCCGGGCTCTCTGAGAGGGGCGGAGGAATCGAACCTGGGTCAGCCGAATTGGCCGCGTTCAAGGTAAACGCCCTACCGCTGTGCTATCGCTCGAACCCCACAGCTAGGTATGGCCCAAAAACCAGTAAAAGAAAAATGAAAAATACCACTACCTTGGAAAACTGGCAGGATCTTACAGAGCTTCTGCATATATAAAATGACTCTGAAAATCCCCTCCAGGTGCTTCTTTCATCAAAACACCAAACTGGATTCAATCCCTGGCATCCTATCTGGTCCCCCACGCCCTGCCAGGAGCTTTCCCTGAGCAGAGCCAGATCTGAGCACTGCAGGTTGTGGTCCTAAAGTGCACTTCCCCCCACCCCCCAAGAAAAACCCCATGAATTATCAGTATTAATATCAAACTGGCTCTTATCATTAAGTACAGCAAGAAAATATAGTCATTTAGGTGCTCTTTTTAAGGACCATTTCTACTTTACATATATATGAGATCCGTGATTCATAACGACGATGGCCTCCCATGAACATAATTCAACATTACACTCCTCCCAGGATTCACCTCCCTCCCAAGCCCACACTCCATCACTCAACTGTGTAGGTCAGCTCCCCCTTGGCTACCTTCAGCCCTTGGTTGCTACCTCGCTTTTTCGCCCCCATTTTGAGCCACACCAGCAGCGCTGAGGTTTTACTCCTGGCTCTGCACTCAGGGGTGACTCCCAGCGGGTTCTGGGGACCATAACCCAGAGGAGTCGTGCGGTCCGCTCCCCCCTGCCATGTAGCTTTAAGCTCACCTATGAGAGAGATCATTCTGTATCTAATGTTCCTTTTTTTGTTTTGCTTTTTTCATTTTTCTTGTTTTTCTTTTGGTCTTGGGGCCATACTCTGTGGTGCTCAGGGATCACCTGTGGCGAGCTCGAGGGACCATATGTGGTGCCAGGTTGCTGAATCCATGCAAGGCACACTCCTCACCTCCGGTACCACCTTTCTGTCCCTCCCTCTTTCCTTCCGACTTCACGCAGCATCATGTCTTCTAGATCCACCCGGGTGCTGCAAATGGCATGACTCTGTTCTTTCTTAGAGTTAAATGCCCATCAGAATGACAGTAGGAGCTAGTTACATTTTTATACAATACAGTACATTAATGGCATTCAATATGCATAATTATTTGATACATACTACATATACAATCCATATTTTAAGCTATTTACCCCGTGAGAATTATCAGTCTATTAGCCATTCATGACTCCTAACAAGTCTTAATATACTAAAACATTTGACACTTTTTTAAATTCAATCACCATGAAATAGTTACAAAGTTGTTCATGATTGGGTTTCAGACAGACAAGGCCCCAGTCAAGACCTGTCCCTTCACCAGTGTACAAATCCTGCCACCACTGTCCCAGTTTCCCTGCCCCCATGGGTGAGTGTTTGAATGTGGATGTGAGAGTGCCTGTGTGTCTCTTCTCTTTCAGGCACTGTGGTCTGCAACGCTGTTGCTCAAAGGTTATGATATATAAACACTTTACCTCCCTGCAGCACTCAGTTCTGGTCCCGAGTGATCATTCCCAACGATCACTGTCACTGTGGTCCCTTCTCTAGCCTAACTGCCCTCGCCCACGACTTATGGCAAAATTCTACCAGGCACCGGTCTTCCTGGCCCTCGTTCCTTTATCTTTGGATATTATTCTCATACTACTTTTTTAAATATCCCACAAATACACATTTAAAACTTTTAAAATAAAACTTCTGGAATGTTGACAAGGAAGCAAGTCACTTCAATTTTACTATTTTACAAAACCCTTTAAAAACCATGCTTTATTTAAAAACGAACAGCATTGCCGAATGCAATACAGGGACATCATTTACCTCTTCAGGAACCCCATTCTGTCTTCTGAGTTCCATATCCTTTTGCTTAATGTCTTTTTCCCAATGTTCTAAATCTCTCATAAAATCTTGTAATTCTTCTGTATTTTGTTTCACTTGAAGTTGCAATTCAATTGCTTTACTTGTTGAAGTCATTATGGTTTGTAGAGCTTTGACCAACCAACCTACGATAAAAATGGAATAGAGTGAGAGAGAGTATAGCAGTTTAGGAGCCTGTCTTACACCTGGCTGACCTATTTTGTTCCCTGGCACCCCATAATGGTCTCCCAAGCCACCCAGGAGCCAGGAGTGATTCCTGAGCAAAGAGTTGGTAATAATCCCTAAGTATAGCTGGATTGACCCCAAAAAAACAAAATAGGAGAGAGAGGGGGGAAACAGAATTTGGTTTATTTTTCTAAACCTATCTAATAAATTCTTTACTGGGTCATAAACGGCCAAGGCAGATAAAAGAGGGCCTAAAATATGCTGAAAACAACTTACACTACTAAATAAATCAATCAACATTTGCAAAAGGAAAAAAAATTGTTTAAAACATTCGGACATTGCTGTGGGGCTGGAGCAATAGCACAGCGGGTAGGGCGTTTGCCTTGCACACGGCCGACCCAGGTTCGATTCCCAACATCCCATAGGGTCCCCTGAGCACTGCCAGGAGTAATTCCTGATTGTAGAGCCAGGAGTAACCCCTGTGCATCATCGGGTGTGACCCAAAAAGCAAACAAACAAACAAACAAACAACACCATTTGGACATCCCTACAATGTAACAGGAATGAAAAGTAATGAAGAAAACACTGAAATCAGCAAGCACACACTGGCTGCTCACCTCAAATTCAAAATCACGTCCTAATAACCCATTACTCTTTTTTTTTAACGCTGAACTCCTGTGACTGGCTCTATATACAGGGTCAAAGATGCAAAAGAAGTTGGACAAAGTCCCTTACTTGGTAATGAAAGCAAAATTTTAACAAAATCACACAAGGCATGGTTTCTCATTCTTGGGGTGAGATCTATCTCGGGCCAAATAAAGGACAGGCAAAAATTAGCTGGCTATGATGGCGACCTCAAAAATCCCCCGAGACACTGAAATGTTTGCCCAGGGTTAAAAAGTGATTGGACAAGTGGTTAACACGAAGTGGCAGGTTGAGTGAGGAACTAGTTAGAGTGCTGGGAGAGAAGACGCCAATGCCAACATCTTGAAATGCCAGTCTGCGACACCTTACCTACAGCTCTAAAGCCACGAGAAAGCACCAAGATGTAAAATAAAAGGGAACTTTATTCTTCATATTGACAATGACAGAGGAGCTTGAGTGCTGAAGACATGGGGTGTGTGATTGTCAGTAACATGGTATCAAAAGTTTGGTCGAGCTGAGTCTGGCTTGAGGGAGGGGCCGTGGGTGAGGGGGTAGTTGTTAGGAATATGGTATCAAAACTTTGCTCTGGCTGAGCCGGGCTGGAACTTGAACTTTTCCTCTTAGAGTACACACTGGTCACCTGAGACCATCTGCCCATCTTGGCACACTTTGTCACACTTGCCACTTTCGTCCAGTGAATACTACAGGCAGAACTAAGTGGAAACGTGGAACTGATAATACCGAGTATCGCTTGTGTGCCAGGGGGCCAAGCTCTTGCCAGTGTATTTAGTGTGGTCAGAACCCCATCTCCGGGGAAATGATAGAAAGGGTAAACCACGTTCCTGTAAATGCACAAAAAAACTTAAGAGCCAGGGGTTTGGACTCACTCGGGGCCGGAGCAATAGTGCACTGGGATGGGCACTTCCTTGCACGTGCTGACCCAGGTTTGATCCCCGCATCCCATATGGTCCCCTGAGTACTCCCAAGTGTGATTCCTGACTGCAGAGTGAGGAGTAAGCCCTGAACACAGCTAGGTGTGGCCCCCAAGACAACTAACTGGACTCGCTGGCTCTGTAGTCTTAGTCAATGCATTCCACTACCTTCATAGCACCCCTCTTGAAGAGCCCAGCAGACTACCAAGAGTATCCAGCAGGGCCTGGCAAGCTCCCCGGGGCATATTCAATACGCCAGAAACAGTAACGACAAGTCTCACAACTTGTTGAGACGTTACTGGTGCCCGCTTGAGCAAACTGATGAACAACAGGAGGGCAGTGCTACAGGGCCACAGAGCAGCTTGAGAACACAGAACTCAGTCTTTAGATATTCTGGTTTGGGAGCCTGATGAGTCAGGAATCACAATTTTGGGAGGGGAGGGAAGCAGGGGGATGCTTCGTCCCACCCAATGTTGCTCAGGCGTGACCCCCAGCAGTCTTGAGGACCATGCGTGACGCTGAGAATTCTGTGTTCTGCAGCATGCTAGGCAGGTGCCTTAGCTACTGTACCATCTCTCTGGCCCAGGAATCATTAAAACAGGGTTTCACAACTTCAAACTGTACTACAAAGCAGTAGTAAGGAAAACAGCATGGTACTGGAACAAAAGCAGAACCACAGATCAGTGGACGAGGGTTGAATGTCCTTAAACACACCCTCAAGTATATGATCATATACTTATCTTCGATAAGGGAGCAAGAAATGTGAAGTGAAGCAAGGAAAGCCTCTTTAACAAATGGTGTTGGCAAAACTGGACAACTACACACAAAAAAGTAGGCTCTGACCACTACCTAACACCATGCACAAAAATCAGATCAAATTTATTAAAGACCTAAACATCAGACCAGAATCCATCAGGTACATTGAAGAAAAGGTCGACAAAACCCTCCACGACACTGAAGGTAAAGGTATCTTTAAGAACGAAACACCACTGACCGAGCAAGTGGAAACAGAGATAAACAAATGGGACTATCTTAAACTAACAAGCTTCTACACCAAGAGAACCAGTGACTAAAATACAAAGACAGTATACAGAATGGGAAAGGATAGTCATCCAATACCCCTCAGACAAGGGGTTAGTATCAAGGATATACAAGGCACTGGTTGAACTCTACAAGAAAAAAACATCCAATCCCATGAGAAAATGGGGTGATGAAATGAACAGAAACTTCCCCAAAGAAGAAACCCGAACGGCACATGAAAAAATGCTCTTCATCACTAACCATCAGCGAGATACAGATCAAAACAATGAGATATCATCTTACACCACAAAGACTGTCACACATCCTCCCCCCCAAAAAAAAAATAAAAGCAACAAGTGTTGGCATAGATGTAGGGAGGAGATTCTTCTTCGCTGCTGGTGGGAATGCTGACTGATTCAGTCTTTTTGGAAAAAACATGGATGTCTCTCAAAAAATTAGAAATTGAGCTTCCATTTCGCCCATGCGATAAAAGAGGTGTTGGAGGCGTCGGTGTCCTTGTCAACACAAACTTGGGCAAGAGCATTGATTCATTTGAATGCCTAACAACCCGAATCAGACGTTTACGTTTGAATAGATGTGACTCACTGCCTGCAGTTTCTATCTTCGTTGTCTACGCACCAACATCTCATTATGATGAAAGAGAAATCGAGAAGTTTCACATGGAGCTAGAGAAGTTCTATAAAGAAGACCACACCTTCTACAAGATCATTGTGGGTGATTTTAATGCCAAGATAGGACCGAGAAGATCAGCTGAAGAACTTCACATCGGGACCCATGGCCTAGAATGGAACGAACAGGGTGAGAGACTGTCTGAGTTCATCATGTCGACCAAGACCATTCATGGTAACTCACAGTTCCAGAAGGCAGAATCTAAACTATGGACATGGGAGTCTCCCGGTGGACGATTCCACAACAAAATAGACCACATCATATTCAATTGACGGTTTTCCCTGACCGATGTCGCTGTTGTCCCAAAATTTCGAACGGGATCGGACCACCGTCTCCTTCGTGCAAAATTCTACTTCACAGAGCGGGGAGAAAGGGCTTCAAAGTTCAAAAAGAGAACTCCCAGAATGACCACCAACTGGGAACTCTTTGGTACTATGGCGGCAACATGGGAAGATGCCATTGTTGACAACATTGACGAGGAATACGATCGACTGGTTCAGCACCTCCATGAATGTGCGAGGAACGCCAAGAGAGAGATAGCCACAAAAAAATCGCCTATCTTCGAGAACTCTTGAGCTAATTCGCCAGCGTGGTTTGTCGCATGTCTCAGGCAACAGCAAGCTAACGTTTGAGCTCGCAAAGCAGTGCAGAGATGCCATCAAGGAAGACCTCAAAGAGAGAAGAGCAGAAGGACTGGTAGATGCGGCAGAAGCGGGGAAAAGTATTCGTAACGCCCGCCTGTCCTTCGCCAACTATAAGACCAAGATGACTGCCCTCCAACGTCCTGATGGATCCATCACATCCTCCAGAACGGCAATGGAGAAGATTATCCATGACTTCTACTCAAATCTCTTCGATAGCCATGTCCACTTGCCGACATACCAAATTCCACAGGATGGATATGTCGTTCCCAACGTTCTCCCTTCCGATATCCGACACGCCATTTCGTCGGTAAAGAAACAAACAGCACCCGGCCCAAACAAGGTCAGACCTGAACACCTGAAGAACCTGCCATCAGTACTCATCAATACACTGGCTCGGCTCTTCACTCATTACCTGTCTGAATGCAAGGTTCCGTCCCAATGGAAAACCAGCAGGACCGTACTACTGTTCAAGAAGGGAGACATCCATGACATTGGCAACTATCGCCCGATCTGCCTATTGTCTGTCATCTACAAGTTGTTCACTCGAGTCATCTTAAATAGGATTGGCAGAACACTAGATGAAGGACAACCATGCGAGTAAGCAGGGTTCCGCAAAGGATTCAGCACCATCGACCATATCCACACGATAACCAAGCTCATTGAGGTTTCTCGGGAGTTAAAGAGGCCACTCTGTTTAACGTTCATTGATTTAAAGAAGGCCTTTGATTCTGTTGAGATGGAAGCGGTCATTGAAGCCCTAGCCAATCAGAGCATTCAAGCCCAATACATCAGGATCCTCCGTGAGCTGTATTGCGGATTCACCACCAGGATCTCACCATTCTACAAAGAAGTGATCGTTGATGTCAAGAGAGGGGTGCGGCAGGGTGATACCATTTCACCGACACTCTTCAGTGCCACCCTCGAGAACATCATGCGACGACTAGAATGGGAAGGAATGGGAGTGAAGATAGATGGTCGGCAACTACACCACCTCTGCTTTGCTGATGACTTTGTTTTAATAACAC